GGCTCGAGGCGGCCGTCGCGTAATGACGTCTTCCCGTTCACAACGCGGAGGCTGCGCCGCGAAGTTTGTCCCTTTGGAGGCGCCGTCCCGGCCGGCGGCCCGCTCGCGTCATGTGACCGAGGATCGCTGAGGCCTGTGGCGGAGGAGACGACGCGCGGCGGGGTCCTGCGCCGGCGGAACGGCGGCGGGATGGAGGCGACCTTGGAGCAGCACCTGGAGGACACGTGAGTCCTGGGGTCGCGGCGGGGTGAGTTGACAGGGACACAGGGCGCAGCCTGCGAGCGCCGGCCGGGCCTCTTGGGGACGCCTTGTCCCGGGGCCTCTGGGTGGGGGTGGCGGGTGACCCGGAATAAAACGCCGCTGGGGCCTCGCCCACTCCGGAGCGAGCGAGCGAGTTAGTCTCCGCGGCCCGAGCCCACAGCCGGCTGTCGTGTTGAAATTGTCTTTAAGGACAGGGTCGTTCTTCGGGGGTTTAGGAACCAGGTTCATTTGGAGAAAGGATGTACCACCTGTGCGAAGTCGACCCCTGTCGTGTCAGTATAAACACACTAGCGTAGCTCTTTCCGGGTGTAACCAGTTATTTGGTGTTTAAGAAGGTGAAAGACACCCAGAAGTGTAAGAAGGCGTACAGGGAAACACCTCCTCCGCACCAGTACTCCTTAGCTTCCCACTTCCGCTTCTGGAGGCAACCTGTGTTACTTAAGAATTTTTCAACACTTATTTCAAGGGGGGTTAGTATGCTAGAGTATGCCTTTTTAACAAGGAGAACAGAGTCCTAGATATTTCAATGTTTGTGGCCCTCCAAAGCTCAGAAGGACCTGGCGCAATCATTTCTCTCATCAGAGAGCTATTGGGCTATCTATTTAAACTAGTGAATTGTAAATTTAATTTTCTTGGTGTACAGATGGGCGGTAGTGAAAAAAGATTTAAGACTGATTTAAGGCACTTAACGACAGTTTCTGGTACATAAAAAGCCTGTATGTGTTATTTAAATTCATTTTCCCACATCGTTTGCTTTCTTCTTCCTGTGTTCCTGGAATTAGAATGAAGAATCCATCCATTGTGGGAGTCCTGTGTACAGATTCTCAAGGACTCAATCTGGGCTGTAAGTATCTCCCATCAACCCTTTGATGGATTGCCCAGCACTTGATGTGGACTGGGAGCCTAGTGTGCTGCTGTTCTCTAGTTTTTACTTCCTGTTACCCTGCCACTTTCCGGGGACTTCTGGGAGAGTAAAGGTCACCTCCAAGTAACAAAGTTAGAAAGTTGAAACTTTTCATTTGGTATCTGTGAAGGTAGAAATGTTCCTTGCGGTTCTAGCACTACACAGTTGTTTCTAGTAAAACAGTGTTTGAATCATTTTAAATTGGGTCTAGAAAGGACTTCAGATAATGACAGCAGTTACCATTTATTGAATGTATGCCATATGTTGGGACTGCTACACTTTTTATACATTATCTCTAACTTTCACAATAACCTGCCAGATCGGTGGTGCAATTTTTTTTGTTTTTTTGTCCAAATTCACTTAATAAGTGAGTAGGCAGTAAAAATGGGGGCTGTCGGGTTGGACATACCTGCTCTTCCATTTATTAGGAGTGTGAACCTGGACCAAAAAAAATCTTTCTGAGCCTCAGTTTCTTTACAGGGTTGTTGTCTAATAATTATTTTTATAGAATTGCATTCACTGAGCTCTTACTATAGGCCAGGCACCATTCTAAGTGCTTTATATTTACTAAGTCATTTAATCCTCATAATAACCCTGTGAGGTAGATGAAGAAATTGAGGCACAGAAGTTGAGTAATTTTCCAGGGTCCTACAGTTAGTAAATGGTTGAGCTAGGATTTGAGTCAGGCTCTAGAGCCTCTTAATCACAATAGTATAAGAGTATATAGTGTATGTAAGACACTCAGAACGTAACCCAGACATAATGCTCAAAAAATGGTAACAATCACAGATGAGTAAATAAATGTGGAAAGGTAAACAGGGGACACCTTCAGCTAATTAATGTCAGAACTAGTAAACCCAGGACTCCTTGCTTCTTACTCCTCTGTACTGCAGGAGTTTTTAAGCTCTGAATTTTTGCTGGGAGGGTAATTGAAAGAGGTAGTCTTGTAGCTCAGTTAGGTTTTACACACAAATCAGTTAGTTGGGAGAAAAAAGGCAGATTTCTTTTGAGGCCCTTGCGAGGCTCACAGATGGAAAGGCTGAAATTCAAGTGTGGATAGCTAAAGCTAAGTGAGTTACTTCGAGAAACCGTCAAAACCCAAAAGACTGCACTGTTGTCTGTCTACTTAATGTTTTATACAATAGAAGTAAATCCATCAACTCTGCCATAGTTGACTTAGTTTCAAGCAGACGGGCTTGTGTTGCCTTTTATATACGGAAATATATTGCAAAGTAAACTCAGTAACTACTTTTTGTACCTGACACCCAAGATTTAGTTATTATCTACAGGCTAAAACAAACATTAGTAAAAAGTCATTTCTGTTGATATTTGAAAACAACCAGCTTATTCTAGTGGAAATAACTGCTCACAGGGTATTTATATATGCTGTCAAGATGATCTTACAGCTGCACTCCTGAGTAAAGATCTTTATATCCTTTGAGGTTGAGCTCAGTAAAAGGAAATCAGATTTCCCATGAGGAATTAATTAGTTTCAACAAGTCTCTTGCCCTTACTGACTGTTTTTTGTCAATCTCACCTCTGAATTTCTTCTTGGTTTCAGTTTGCTTTCAGATTGACTTGAATTACGGCTTCCTTATGTGCTTGAGAAGGTGTTTAGAGATGGTGATGAAAATGACTTGGAAAATTGAGTGTTAGGGCTTTATTGACTTAAAAGCTGCTGTCTGGCCTTCTCTTTTCACTGCTGTAACCGGCTGAGTATCAGGGCAGAATCATTTCATGTCAGTACCTAACTTAAGAGACCAAGAGCTGAGCCTTCTTTTTGTAAATAATTCAATTCAGTTCTACTGTAGCTCTCTACTTATTTTTTGGACAGTCAGGTGTCCTGATGTCATCTCTGTCTTCCAGGCCGTGGGACCCTGTCAGATGAGCATGCTGGGGTGATATCTGTTCTAGCCCAGCAAGCAGCCAAGCTGACCTCAGACCCCACTGATATTCCTGTGGTGTGTCTCGAATCAGATAATGGGTGAGTAAGTGTCAGCAGATCCTTCCTTTCCTTTTTGTTCAGAAAAATCCCTGAGATACTTGACTGGGGCCTACCCTGTGTTCATCATTCAAAGGACTTGGAGGGAAGTTCGTCCCTTTGGACCACAGGAGCAGATGGATTAATCTCTGAAGCTAATACGCTTTCAGAACACAGTGACATTTAAATGAAGAGTAAGAACTGTTATGAACCATCAGTCTCTCAAGGAAAAGAAAGCAATAAATAGCACAGAGGAAGACTAAACAGAACAGAAACACTGTCTGTAGTAATAGAAGGACTAAAGATATTCCAAGTGAGGGTCTTTCAAATAGTGAAAAAAGCATTATATAATACTATCAACATTATGATCACAGTTTTGTAGAATGAGGGGGAAAAATGTGTATATAGAGTATACATGCAGATAAAAAAGGGAAAATAATAATAGTGATTGTCTTTGGTAGGATTATAGGATTGATTTCATTTTTATATTTTATACTTTTCTGTATTTCCCACATGTATTGTGTTTATATATTGCTTTTATACATGGAAAAATGATAAGTATTACTTTTTTAGTTGTATCCTAAACCAAACAGCATCTTTACACTGACTGCCATTTGTAACGTTTTCCTGAGTATCGTCCACTTTGCCTTTCAGGAACATCATGATCCAGAAACACGATGGCATCACAGTGGCAGTGCACAAAATGGCCTCTTGACGTCTCAGACCTGTTCCCCAGCAGCCTGTCATAGGGACTCAGTTGTACCTTATGTTAATTATCCTATAGAACTATTAGAGTTCAAGTAATTAGGCCATTCATGTAATGTGTGTTGGACACTTTCCTGTTAATTTTAGAGTAAACTGCTTTTGACACCATGGATTGACTTATCAAAATACTAGTTAAGAAAATATCATGTTTTGAAGCAGTAGGTTTAGGGCACTTTGTATATAGAATTTTGTTATGTTTAATAAATGTGGTTGGAGGAGAGCTTGTCTCTTTTCTGGATTCTTTAAACTCGTATCAGTGTTTATTTCTTTCAACTGTCAAATTGGAATTTTTCTAAAAAAGGTGTTCCAAACTGTTCTCTTTCAGAAGCTTCCAGAAATACATAGATTCTCACAGAAGCATCCATGGAATGTAAAACAAGTTAAACATACTCCTGCCCCACAATAAAAACATAATAGTTGATATCATTAAGTTCTTACTATATGCCAGGAACACATTTAATTCTCATTAATAACCCTTTATAGGTTCTCAGTAGCAAAGAGGTAGAAGCAACTCAAATGTCTATTGATGGATGAATGGATAAACAAAATGTGGAATATGCATACAATGAAATATTCAGCCTTAAAAAAGGAAGGAAATTGTTGACAGATGCTACAGAATGGAGAACTCTTGACATTATAAGTAAAATAAGCGAGTCACAAAAAGAAATACTGTATGATTCCACTTATATGAAGTACCTAGAACAGTCAGATTCAAAGTAGAACAGTGGTTGCCCGAGGCAAGAAGAAATGGAGTGTTACTGTTTAATGGGTACAAAGTTTCAGTTTATAAGATGAAAATTGTAGAGATGGGTGGTGGTGATGCTTGAACAACATCAACGTACTTAAGACGCTAAACTGTACGCTTAAAAATGGCTAAGATGGTAAATTTGTTGTTGTATTTTACCACAGTGAGACAGTTTTAACGAAAAAATAAACATGAATAAACCAGCACAATTACAAGACAAAGATAAAGATAACTTATAAAAGTGAGAAAGACTGAAAACCTCAAAATAGAAAATTAGAAAACAGTCCAATAGCAACAAAAACAATACATTTAGGAATTACCCTGATAAATAATGAAAAAGAACTTTATGAAGAGAAAGTAGGGATTAAAAAATGAGCAGAACTAAATAAATAATGCAACAAAAAGATCAAAACTGCAAAGAATTTTTCTGGGACTAATGTGCTAATAAAGATGCCAGTGTGGATTTTTTTGGTGAACCTGACAAACTTTTTAATATTAATGGAAGAATAAAGGTTCATAAGTAGTCAAAAAAAAAAATCCTCACCCTATATGGTAGGTACTCTCATTTGCCCCCTTTTCCATTTGTGTAACTAAAGCTAAGTAAGGGATTAGCAGAGTCACCATTTGGACTTAAGACTGTCTCAAAGCCTTAGATTTCTAACACCCAGACCACTGCAGAAATCTGTATATTTGGCCATAAAAAAAAATCTACCATTTGAAAATGTAGAACATTATCTTCTCTTCAGCCTTTATTTTCAGCAACAGAATGGTGCCCAAGCAGGTACAAAAGACCTCATTTTGTTGAATTTGAGTGCAGCTCCTGTTGCTCTTTAGCAATTTAGTATTTGACAGCCTTTTAAAGTCTCAGAATATGATTTATTCAAAAATAACAAGCACCTACAAAAAAAAGGTGCTCTGTGAGGATATGAGATTTTGAATGAGACATGGCTCTAGCCTTTGAGCTTGTACTTGATAGAGACATGCATGTCTTTTGTCTTCTCCCTACTTACCAATCCCTGACGTGGAGCCCCTGTGTTTGTATTATTGTCTGTCTCCCCCACTAGCATAGACGTTGTGAGAGCAGATGGGTCATTTACAGATGCATCCCAAGCACTTAGTCCTAGCACACAGTAGGCGCTGAATAAATACGTGCCAAATAATGAATATATAACAAATACAAGGGAGTTTTGTGGCATGAACTGGGCCTTTCCAGGCAAAGGGAATGGCAATGGCAAAGACAGGTGATAAACCAAAAGGGATGTTTATGTAATATGAAGTGCTTTAGTTTGGTCTGTGAGGTAGGAGGTGAAAAAGCTGGAAGGTAGGGCAGCTACCTTGAGGAACTTGAGTACCTGCTTTTTAAGCATCCCAGGCCTTATTACCCTGTTAGCAGAATGGGGTCTGAACAAGTGAGGGTCAAAGTTGAGTTTTAAGATGAATCTGAGGTAGACTGACCTCATTTTTTCCCAAAGAGAAAAACTTCTGGCTTATTTTTATATCTCCAATTCCTAGCTCAGAGTAATAGCCAAACTTTAGTGAGTTTTTGCTACATGCTAGATGCATGGTAAGCAATTTACTTACATTCAGCTCATTTAATTCTCTTTTTTGAAGTATCATCCCCATTTTAGGCAGGAAGAAATAGGCTCAGCATGATAAAGTAATTAGCTCAGGATAAAATATGGGAGACAATTTTTAAAAGTTGGCAGAAAGGGAACTAAAGAAAATGAATCAAAGACAACTGAACTATCCAGATGATGAAGAACTGGGTGCCTAGAAGCAGCTAACTCAGGGAAGGATTATGGGGAGAAGATGGCTGGGTCTGATTTTAGACTATGTTGAAACTGAATATTCTGACAGGATATCCAGGTGGTAATGTTCAATAACAAACAGGTATTGGGCGCTCCCTATGTACCTCCCTTCAGGGACCTCCCATTGCATATAGAACAAAATCCAAAGCTGTTACCATGGTCTGCTAAACCCCGCATGACCCAGCCCTGCAAACCCATTGTGCCAGATCTCATGCCACTCTCTGCCTACACATAGCCTCTCTCTCTAGCACAGTGCCTGGTGTATAGGAGGCAACTTTATTGAATGATATGAATAAATGAACATACTCTCATGCTTCATAAGGACCTTTGAGGTAGGGTATAGTGCACCCAATTGCATTGGTGAAACGTAAGACTTATGCTGGAAAGAACTCAGGGCTGGAGATGGCCGATTTTCTAGTCTGTACAGAGCTGAAGCTAAAGATTGCATGGGGGTTTCCAAGACCACCTCTGTGATGGTTAATTTTACATGTCAATTTGACTGGGCCAGGGGGTGCCCGAATATTTGGTTAAACATTATTTCTGCGTATGTGTGTACCAGTGTTTCTGGATGAGATTAACGTTTGAATCAGACTAAAGCAGACTGCCCTCCCCACTGTGGGTGAGCCTCATCCACTGAAGACCTGAATAGAATAAAAGGCGAAGTAATATAGAATTCTTTCTCCTTGCCGGACTGTCTTCCAGCTGGGACAGTCTTTTGCCTTCGGACCCAGCCTCAGACTGGAACTATGCCATTGGCTCTCTGACTGCAAATCTTTGATTTCTCTGCCTCCGTGATTACATGAGCCAATTTCTTATTGTAAGTCTCCATTCTATTGGGTCTGTTTGTGTTTCTAATACAACATCCCAGGTTTTATGTTTCCTTAGGAGGACCCACAGGACTTGGCATTATTTTATTTACATGGTTTATTACAGAGGAAAGATACAAAGCAAAATCAGCAAAGGGAAAACGCACATGGGGCAAAGCCCAAAAAAAGCAAGAGAAAGCTTCCAAGAATTCTCTTTTAGTGAAATCAATCACACAGGATACACTTAATTTCTTCAGCTATGAGTTGTGACAACACATGTGAAATGTTGCCACCAGGGAAGCTCGTTAGAGATTCAGTGCCCAAAGTGCCCTGATCACATGGGCATCCTCTCCCTGGACTGCTCTCAAAATTCTAGACTCCCAGGAGGAAAGCAAGTATTCAACATAAACCATATTGTTTATACAAATAGTTTAAGCAGAGTGATCCACTCTTAAAATTTAAGGAATGGTGGGAACCCTCCTCCCAACATCTTAACTCTTTTCTGCACAAAGAGTGAGGACAAGGAAAGACGTAGCTAAAAATAAAACCTCAATTCTAGATGGTAGTGCTGTATTTTACTCTAAGTCCCTAAGTGCTAGAAAGTATTCATGGCTGTATTTGTCAGGGGAGTGAGGGTAATAGTAGTGATTTATGAAATCATGCTTGAATTCAGCATTCTTGCTGAATAACTTTAGGGCCAAGAGTTAGAAAGTCAGAGGTTGATTGGGTACTGATGCCAAAATGTTAACATCCTAATAATGGTTTAAGAATTCTTTGCTCTTGATATTAAGCCCCATCTGATTAATAAGAAACATTTTTAATAAACCAAGTACCAACAGTGGGTCCGTTAATGTGCAGTCACTATACATATATATAGGGTCATTCCTCACAACAAACTTGCAAATATTATTAGCCACATTTTATAGGTTTGGAAACAGATTCAGAGAGGGTAACTTGCCCACAGTCTGCAGGCTTAAATAATGGCTAAGTTGAGATTCTAACCAAGTCTGCAGTTCCCATCATACCTCAAAGCTTTCTGTATGAAAGATATGTTTCAAGAGGTTCGTGTCTGGGACCTTGCAGCCCTCCTAGCCTCTATGAATGACTCCTTGTTCTGCCACCTTTCAAATCTGATCCAGCCCTCAGCATCAGAGCTCTCTAGCAGTATAAAGCTAGCCTCATGTCATGTGGCAATCAGAATCATAGATAGCTCTGTTTTAAAAGAGCAGCAAGACCTCATCAAAGAAAAAAACCAAAAACCAAAAAAAAAAACCAAAGTCTTGAGATGTTTACCAAAAGCGCTTTCTAGAGTATGTTAGTAACTACAAACAACTCTGAAAGACATTCCCCTTTCCTCTTTTGGGTTTTGTCTTCTGCGGAAGGTTTGTTTGATCCTTACCACCAGCACCACGTAACTGCATCATCTTTTCCACTGTTACACTTAGAGGGCATCTTCCCAAACCACCAAGCTCTGCTTCTGCTGGCGCTTCAATCAAAAAGTACTGAGTTGGTTTTAAGAGCCTGAGAAGCCCCTCGCTTTTTAAAAAGGAATCTGCATAAATATGTGCAGATTTTCCAGATAAAACAAGAAAAACACTCTTTGGTGTAAAATACACTCTGGTTTAAAACCTGGAATGTTGGTGCTGGGGAGATGAAAGGCAATTTTCTGTTGACTTTTTTTTTTTTTTTGATGTGTAGGGTGGAGCAGAGGAAGGAAATGGGATAAGAAATCTGAATTATCCCAGTAGTTTTCTCGGAGACCCAGCCTTAACCATTTCCAAAATGCAACAGAAAAAAGGTTTCATTAAAAGTATAAAAATACACCTTTCATGGGAAGTGTTTGGTAATCAAGTATAAAACA